TAGAAGTACCTGTACTTTTTATGTTAAGTGAAAGAAACCAGCTGAGGCCTCGAGCCTTATATTTGCTCGACAGATCAATTTCTTATCTGTTCTCTTAGGAAAAGTGGAAAAGGATTTTTTTGTCTGCTAAAACCAGCAAAACAAACAAACAAAAAACCCTACAAGTGTTTTTATTATTCTGTCAGTGTATATTAATGCCTCTGCTGTGCTTAAGTTGCATAACCTGTTATACAAAGTATCATAAGGGTGAGTGAAGAGTGAACTTTGGTCTGAGAAATTCAAATAAGGTAGGCTGAGGGCAGAACAACAATAAAACAAACGTGGACGCGGACTGAAGTATGAATTATAACTGTATTGAACCCAGATGTTACTTGCCGGTCAATTACTATTGATCGGTCTACTTAAGAGCACAAGGTTATTTGTATAACATCGCAGAAGACTTTATTTCTTGCTGACCCAAAGAAACTGTCTGGAAAACCGCCAGCACGACAGTTAAACATGAAGTGAGACTGAAATACAAACCTCTAGGTTCTTGGTGTAAGCATCCGAGGTAGTGGCACGGACCTTCTCCACCATGGCTGCCACAAGGTAGTTAGTTTGAAACTGCTTGGAGCTGAACTCCTTGCGGCATTGTGGGCAGGTGACAGGCCCCTGCGTTCCTCTCCAGTACCTGGATATGCAAGATTTGCAGAAATGGTGCATACAGGCCAACATGACAGGCTCTCGGAACAGATCACAGCATATGGCACATGTCAGGTCCTCTCTCAGACTGCCTCTGGTGGACTGAACAGCAGCAGCAGCAGCAGCAGCCATGATGAAGGGTGCTGTCCTCTTTGAGATCCCTTCACAGGAAGTGAAAGCAAAACGTCTGAAGGCAAACAGAAAAGATTACCAATCCACTTCTGCAAATACTTTACAAGGAGATAGCTTCGATTTTTCTGTCAGCTGCCAACAAATGAAAGGAAAAACAAATAGTTCACCTTCAAACACAGCAGAGTGTGCAGCTACAGTCTGAAGTCCATCACTGATAACAAAGCAGTGCAAACATCTTAATACTAGCACTAAGCACCTACTTGATGGTGCTCAGCAGTAGAAATCAGGTGCTATATCACGGGGCTTGCGAGCTAGCTTGTGATTTGTATTGCGAAGGCAGTGTTTACTCAGGTAGCGTGTTTGCTCTTAACTGCCTGGAGCCAGTTAGCGTTTAGCTACGTGTAGCAGCCTCTACAAAACAATAAGAAACAAAAGACATTTCGGAACTTCAATAAAGTGACTATAATCGTCACATAATGAATACTTTGATGAACTTACGTGGTCTGTTGTTCGGAGAAATTCAAAACCGAATACGTCAAAGTTCGCCCCTCTGCTCTCTACTCCCTGCTGCTGCTACTGTTTGGGAACAAATAGTCTTATATTCTGCGCATGCGCGCGCCACAAGCCCGCGTTTGATTGGTCAGTGTGTTTGACGGTGAACAGCAGATGGCAACGAGTTTTGTCAGCAATTTTCGATATACACTAACTGGTCATTTTATTAGGTACACACGTTCAACTGCTCATTAATACAAATATCTAATCAGCCAATCACGTGGCAGCAATTCAGTGCATTTATAGGCATACAGACAAGGTCAAGGCGACCTGCTGAAGTTCAAAGTAAGCATCAGAATGGGGAAGAAAGGGGATTTCATTGAGAAATGGGTATTGGTGCCAGACAGATCTGCTGATTGACTGGGAATTTCCTACAAAACCATGTCTAGGGTTTACAGAAAATGGTCTGAAAAACTGAAAATATGCAGTGAGTTGCAGTTTTCTGGGTTTTGTCGATACTAAAGGTCGGAGAAGAATAACCACACTGCATAAAGCTGATAGGAAAGTAATATTAACTCAAATGACCACTTAACAGGAAATTCAGGCTAGAATTCACACAGACGCCCCAGAAATGGGAAATAAAAGATCAGAAAGATTCTGATGAGTCTTGATTTTGCTGGTACATTAGGCAAGCATGGTTAGAATATGGAAAACAACATAAAAGCATGGCTCCATCCTTGCTTGTATCAAATGTTCAGGGTACTGTTGGTGATATTTTCTCGACAAACATTGGGCCCTTTAAGTACCAGATCATGATTTAAACACCACACCTGCTTGAGTGTTGTTGATAACCATATCCATCATTTTATGATCACAGTGTACCCATCTTCTGAAAGCCGTTTCCAGTGAAACTCTCAAATTAGCTCAAAGTGGTTTCTTGAATGGGGTCTCTGTATTCAAATGGCTTCCACATTCAGCAGATCTCAGTCCGACAGCTCACCTTCGGGTTGGGGTGGAAAGAGAGATTTACGTCATGGATGTGTACCAGACAAATCTGCAGCAATTGGGATGCTATCATGTCAATATTGACCAAAATCTCAGAGGAATGTCTCCAGCACCTTTGCCAGTCGACCAATATTTATTTTCAATCTACCTTTTTCACTTCCTCCAATGTCTGTTGCAAACGCAGGGAAGGACTAAGACTAAGACTAAGAATACTGGATCTAATATTGATTCCTAAAAGACAGTCAAGTTGCATCTTTTTACTTTTACTGTAAAAAATAGATTAAAGTGTGTTATTTCTAGGTCATTTGCACAGATATATCTGTCCATTCATCCTCCATCAGATATAATTCTGATGGAACAAATCCCTTATAAATGACTATTAAATCTCCATGAATAGTAGTAAAGCAAACATCTAATAAAATAGGATTGGACTCTAGTCTCATGTAAAGGTCAGGCCCCCATAACAGTTTTGCCCACGTTTCACCCTAGTGGGAGTTGTGCCTTAAGAGGGTCCTCTTAAGAGACAACTTCCACTAGGGTTTAAACACCTGGGACTCTCCATCAGTTGGTGTTAGAACTGAAAAAGCTTCTTGCATGAGAGGTGAAACATCTTCAAGAAAGTTATAGAAGTCCGGTCGCTTTTCTTTCCAAGCTCCTTAGATTCCGTAGATAGCTATTTGTTTAGATTTCTGAAAGGTTCCTCCGGAGCCACAAAAGACGTTATACAAAAGATTTCACATTACTTGCTGCGATAAGTGAACTGAACTCAGTGGGTAAAATGAGTGGATGGTTTGTGGAATTATAATGAAATTTGCTTGATATCCACTATTGCAAAAATCTACAGTCTGTCACAAGTTGCTAAAAACCTCCAAACTCTCTGAAACATTACCAAGGATACGACCTCAGTGTCATTAATGGTAGCTCCAGGCGTGCTTGCAAGGAATGTGGCTATTAAATTTCAGTTTAATAGGGGAGATACAGGACCACTTCTGCCTTCTTGGACATGGTGACCAAGTCCTTTATAAAAGAAAAGTTCACCAGCAGGAACGACTGGAACATCCCACACAAATATTTCTCTGAGGAATCCAATCTGCAAGCTTCAAAGGGAAAGTATCCTTTAAAATCAATATCTAAAATCAAATGACTAAAGGGTCTAATCTGCATTGTACGGTTACCATCTGTCAAGTGTGTATCCCCGGTAGGAAATAACAAAAGGAAAAGGGGGGAAAAAAGCACAAAAGGGATTTCTTAGCTTGGGTTAATTACACAGAAAGACAGACAAACAAGTTGCGAGGACACCCACAGTTTGTGAGCTAGAGACAAGAAGTGAATCTCAACCATTCTCAGTCCCAAATAGCTCACTAACCACTTTTATGAAGATTAATTTGAGCCCATCCAGGTGAATCAATGACACAGCAGCCTGAGAAAACTCTCAACACCGGCTGAGTGACCCAGACATGGGGAGGCTGGTGGATGGCTCTTTTAATTGGAAGCAAAAGAAGTGGAAGAGAGAAAGAGAAAGAGCCAATCAAGTATAATCTCCGGTGCTGAGATAATTGGTGCATCAAATTATTCTGCCACAAACTAAAACCAAAGAGGTTCAAGGATCCTATTAAGATTCTGATCAGGTGAATTCCTTTCAAACAATCATGTAGGTTGAAAGTACAGTAAAAAAAAAAAAAAAATTCAGGGCATTTTTAAAGTCTTTTAATCCCATTTATTTCTAGGGACCTTATGATCTTTGTTGCTTTTTGCGTTTCACCTCGCTTTTGAAGTTCCTCAAAAACTGCCCAAATCAAAACAAAAAGTAATTTTTGTCCCAGATGACTATTTACTGTCATCTTGTTACAGAGGGAATTGCTCCAGACACAATAAAGTCATCA